ACAGTAAATAAAAATGTCAAAGAGAGAAAAATAAAGTCTTAATCCTACCGGAGCACGTAGTTGTAACAGAGGAAGAGGTAAAGTAGACGTGGCTTTTATAATAAAAAAGGAAGAAAGCCAGCAATCTTACTCGTTTATATATTAAGTCTTTTGTGAACAGCTGCACATTGTACGCATCATATGTATGAGTAAAACAACTTGTTTTTAATCTAAGCATCAGAGCTGTGTGTTTAGTTTCTAGGAAAGGTTTACGTTTTTTCATATTACTTTTCCTATTGCAAATGCTTCCTTTTTATAAAGAGCAATTTCAACTTTTTTATCCTCATTGTTAGAGGCATAAGGCTGTTTGGTATTGTACACTGAGCCCTTTGCTATAGCAGGTCTTTTTTCTTTGGCTCTGATGTGAGCTTTGTTACAACACAAGAATACTGACAAATTTTCAAAGACACATGAATACATTTTAAAGGGATACCATCAACTTAAAGATTCATATTTCTGTCTGACAATTTTTTATCTACCATAAGCCAAATTTTATCATTTGGTACAGCCTGAACAAGGCTTGGTGCAGAACTCCTGGAGGCACTATGCTTCAAAGAGGTGCCATTCCCATGTTGCTTCCCCTTTTCCTGGAGAAAGTGGGGGCTGTAATTTGCGGCTAGACCCCTCACACTGGTTTAGCTGTGCTGCTTGACATTGAAGGACGGAGAAAGGCAAATGCAGCATGCACCCAGATTCATGATTTAGGTATCGCTACATAGTAGTGCGAGACAGGGTCTTATTTTTCTGCATGAGTGTGCGGTACAAATCACAATCTAACCCCACATTTGTAAGATTACTCTAACTGAAAAGAAATTAGAAGGGATTTGTCATGGGACAGCTGACCCACTCTGGCTGAAAAGGAGAGAGGCTTGTAAGAAGCCAATCAGAGAACAGCTTTTGCTGGGGAAGACTTGGTTATAAGGAGTTGCGCAGAAGAGAAGTGTACAGTTGGGGCCTGACCAGAGAGGGTGAAGGACTGGTTCCCAGAGAAGCACTTTGGAGAAAGAGCAGTGATGGGCAGGCTCAGAGAAGTAGGATTGAGGCTCCAGCCTGATACCTGCAAGGCTGCCGGCTTTGATTCAGGGGCCAGGAGGGTGCAAGAGGCAGAGGGGAAGTGGTTCAGTGAACAGGAGGCAAATAAGGGAGAGTGAAGGGGGGCGGGACCAAGCAGCTTCCTGAGGGTCCCTATGTTGAGACCCAGAATAGTGGACAAGCCTGAGTCCCTCTCCTCCCCTTATAGGAGTGTACATATAAATCCCTTATATTTTTGTTGATTTGCTTTCTTCATTTGTTAATGCTTTCTGTAGAATTGTTGTCACTACAAACCTTTTCCTTTGCTTTGGGGCTTTCACACCCTCAGGACAAAGAAAAGCATACGAATACAGGACTAAGTGGCTGTAAAATTACAAGATCTGACAGGAAAGTCTTAGGCAGGTGAAACTACTTTTAGCTTATATTTAAAACTGATTAGATTTGAAGGTGACAAAAGTTCCTTTAAACATACAGTTTAAAACATAGTTGCCAAATCCACTGCAAAGTAACTTGCACTTTATTTCTTTCCTGCTTACATAAAGAAAACCATGTATTCCTAACTGAACCTGTCAGGTTAGTTAATATACAACCTCCCTCTCCAGATTAGTCAGCATTTTCTAAACTATTCTGTTTTAAAAAAAATTACATACAGCTTCTTCGAAAGGAGCCAGCTGTAGGTACCAAATGGCAGGTCATTACAGCTCTTCAACTGATTTTGTACGTCTGTTGTTGGAGATAACTTTGGCGTATTCTATTGCTGATCTGTAAGGAACACGAGGGAGAGCTGGGTTTTCAAAGTCAACATGGAAGAGTCCAAATCGACAGCTGTATCCACAAGTCCATTCAAAGTTGTCAAGGAGGGACCACACAAAATATCCTTTAAGATGGACGTCATCAAGAGAGATGGCTGAAATTAATATAACAAATATAACCTTACAAATATATAGTTTGTAATTAACTGATTTTTTTAATATTCCACTTTGATAGTACCTGTAATGGCAAAAACTATATAAATATTGATACTGACAACCTAAGAAAAGATATATTTTTTGCCAGAGAAGTAGCTCGTGGAACTGGTCTGCCTTTCCATTCCTGGAGCACCCCAGGCAGTAAGGTAAAGAGAAGCATTGGCAGAGCTGGATAGGACAGTGGTTTACTGTGAAATGTTAGGTCCTGTACACTGCCATCGGTCTCACACCTTCATACAAAACACGCTAAATTACAAAAAAGACACTGGCCTTTTCTCTACTTACCAGGAGTTCAGTGCTGTGGATATTGATCTCCCGAGTTTGATTTAGCAGGTCTAATATGGAACCTGTCAAACTGACCACTGATCACACCCCCATCAACTCCAGTACTCTACTCAGACATGGAGGAAGGGAAGTCAACAGGAGAGTTTCTCCCATCGACCTCCCGCAGTAGGGACGCTGTGGAAATTCTAAGTAAGATACATTGACTTCATCTACACTATTCATGTAGCTGGCCTTGCATATCTCAGTTCTACTTTGTCCCCTAGTATAGACCTAGCCTTTATGTGGAACTCTGTATGGCAAGACAATAGGAGCCTCTTTGACGGAATTCTACCAAGCTAGCTCAAAGGTGAATACAGGACAATGTCCAACCTTCACTATTTAAAATGTCTTACTTTCTTAAACTAGAAAGGCTACGAAAGTTAAAAATATTCTTCCAACAGTTCCTTATAAAACAAAATCCTTAAACCTAGAACATGAGCAATGCTCTGGCCTCTTTTCACGGCTAAGAAATCCAACACCTCCGAAATGATTCTTTGAGTTTGGGTCTTGGTTCTCTCATTACATACAGTATACATGCATTGTTGAGTAAAGTTGCACACTTGTGCATAAATGTGATCACATAACATACAACAGAAGGAAAAGAATGTGAACAATTTATTTTTGAAACAATATTTTAAATCCCAAATTCTTCAATAAGCAATATGAGTATTTCCAGAACTAAATCTAATGTTACCATTCATTGTTTGACCTGATGCATACACATACATGAGAGGAAAAAGGCTGAAAAAATAATCAGTGATAATTTTGTTTGACTAGTTGGTGGTTTTCTTGAATAAAATATGAAGAGAAATTGCATGAAAATTGATAATGCACATATAACTTGGATAATCAAAAAGCAAGCAAAAATTAAGTATACGAAAACCTGGATTCCTTTGATTGGTTTAACTGGGAAGATAAAACAAAACTAATCTGCTTCTTTCTTCCATATTCCTGGAACCATAATTGTCTGTGTCACTAATTATACATTTGCATAATTTTTGAACAAAATGTAACAGAAAAATCAGTGTATCAACAATAAACACTATTTCTCCTGTAAAGCAAAGGGAAGGATAGGAAAAAGTAATCTTCTAAATTGCCACTAGTTCCACAGTAGTCATGAATATTCAGAAGCAATGGTGGGAACATGCCTCTACTTTTTGTCACAGAGAAATGTTTAGGTATAAGAATTGCTTAGGTACGATACAGAAAGAGTCTGACATAGTCTATGAACTCCACAATGCTGTGCTATTGTTAGGGAATAAACCACCGAGGAACCTACTGTACATGTCTTTCTGCATCCAACAGACAAAATAGGGAATGAAACATCATCATGTGACTTGTCAATTTGATTTATGAGGTACCTAAATCTTGAGCTGGGGGGGAGGGAGAAATGTGTGTATGAAATCTCTGCTCAAAACAGCATTGCATACAAAGATAACTATGTCTGACAGGGATAGCTGTTGGTCCAAGGAAGCTGGAATAAATGTGATAAGCACCGTTCTTCTTGTGTTTCTAGTGCTTTTGACTTAAAACTATTAAAAGGGAGGGGGAGGGGAAGACAACTCAAATAAAGAGATGAGACGCAAAAATAATATCCAGGGTGAACTTTTGATACACTGCTGCCTTGATAATAGGACATTCTCCAATAGTGAATTTCATGCCGATACTTTGATTAGAAAACACATTAGGAGCTCATTATTTCTAAGCCTTGAGCGTGTTTTCCCAACATTCCTAGTTAAAGAGTGCACTCTCTATACTACACACACTGTTAAAGGTTTAGGAATTTTTTCTTTTCTTTTCTTTTCTTTTCTTTTGGGTGAGGGGTAAAAGATAATCCCCCCCAAAGTTCAATAAAGAGTATTTTCACTGCAGTTTCAAAATACAAACACCTCATACTTCTAACAATTATGATTAATTTGACTCTCACCACCTTTAGAGCACAGGATACATCTTTTAGATACATCTTTTTACACAGGTCTCCTCCAGTTTTTAAAGGGCTGGTAAGCTTTTGTTTACCTGGGATATGTTTTTACACTGGACTCACCTAAACCAGTTAAGAGAGAACAGACCACGACTGGATAGCAACTGCCTCTTCTAATCTTTGCTGTGCTTTCTAGATTCTATGATGTCAGCCATGATATAAATAGACATAGATCTGTCTGCCCCCAGAATGCCATTAATCACCATAACTGGAAGTTGTGCTAATTACTCTGCCAATGTGGGTGGCCACAATAGCTGAAGGAGATCCTTTAGGTGTACTGCCAAGTATCTAATTTGTCTTGTCATTTTTCACATTAACTGTCTGTTCCTTGTAGGGTCACTTCTCTGTACTCATTTTTCCTCAATAGCTATGCTACCTTTGACACCATAAGCCACCTACCTCTCCACAAGAGCCTCTCATCCTTGGGTGTCTGTGACACTGGCTACTTACTCCTTTACCTAGCTGACAACTCCTTCACTGTTACTATTAATTGGCCCTTTCTGCCTCTACTGGAATTTCCCAGGCTCTGTCATCATCTCTCTCTCTGAAGTCATCCCTGGGTGACTTTGTTCCCACAGTCTTTTTTATCTCCACAAGCTAATTACTCTTAAATAAACTTCGCTACCCCTGACATTGGTCCAGGCTTATATCACATATCTCTGTGATATCTTCTCCTTTCCACCACTTTCCACCACTTTCTATGGCTAAAAATGAAAATGCAGGCTTTGCTTCCAGCTTTATGTATCATTAACTACCCTCCAAACCACGGAAACTTGCAACCATGAGGTAATTTGCCTTAACATTTGGTTAGATCCTGGAAGTGAAGAGAAAAACCAAAGGAGACCACTTCTTTCTCTACAATATTGCTAGCTTCTATCACTTCCTCCTCATCCCTACTGCATACAGTTTGTTTCACCTCTTAGTTCTCGCTCTCACCTGAACCACTGTAAACTCCTCCTCTCCAGTCTCCATCATCCTTCACTCCTTCTTCAATCAAACCATTGTTTCTGCTCCAGCTATAATAAACCTCATTCCTATAAGCCCTCAATTGGCTCCCATCAACTCACTCAGTTTTCTATGGTTTGCTAAAGTCTTTTGGGGACCATATCAGAAAAGAGAGTGTGAATGTATTTGTTCAGTATATAACTGTTCTTTGAGCCAATTTGATCAATACATTTGACACAATTAATACTTCAAAACAATATCAGCAATCTGTGTGTTCATACCAGGCAATTAAAGGATTTCCTAGGCTTTGCTTTCATTTAGTTTGTGTCTTCATTAATGTGCTATAGGATTTCTTTTTGCATGCTGCATTCTATGCTAATCACTTTTTCTTCTCTTGTAAAAATTACATCACTAACAATTTTTAACCTGGATGTCAAACTCCCAGTCCACAGTTACAGTTACAGTTCACTTGATGTCTTTAGCAAATTTTCCAAAACAGATTCAGATTCAGTAGAATGAATGTATAAAGTTTCTAGCCCTTATGGTTGCAAAGAAAGACTTCTGAATATAAACTGATTAAACGTTAGTATGTGTGGATCTGGGCCCATATCAATTTACTACTTCCCTGAGACACCAACTCGACTGTCACTCAGAATTGAAGCACTTAAAATCTGCAGCTGGTTGTTCAAAGTAGATTTAAAATACCATTATTGACAAACATTTTACATTTTCCTCTACCTCCTGTCTTCTATTACAAGTGATACAGTGAAGTTAAACACATAAGCATCAATCAACAGGGTTAATGAGGAGTACCAGGCACTACCTTAAGATAACATTTTAGCATGTTATTCTGAGACTGACAACTTTACAGCATCTAATGTCTGCAAAAAGACAAGCAAAAGATTTGTGAATATGAAAGCATACATTTACAATTAACTACTCAGCATATTAATATAGAAAGAGCAGGGGACAACATTGGATGCAATGCAATAAATCTGTTATTAGAATTCTCCAGCTTTTATCAGTTTAAGGGCTTAACTGGCAATCAGTGAAAAGGCTCCAGCCATTCTCATGTGCTGCCCGAATAGTGAAGACTCAAAACTAATGACTGGCAAGAACTTCATGCAGTCACTTGCTGTATGGAATGTGTCCTGAAGCTCCAACTAGGTAGCACTGACTTTCAGAGATGATGTGCACAAGTACACTTGAAAAACGGCCCATCATACATGCACAGTAATGAGGGTTTACTGGTGGGGAGAGGGGAAAGGGAATAGATTGGCTGCTATAATGCACCCATTAAGGATAAGTTTGATAGTGTGCTTCTTGTGACATTTGATGTGTTTAATGCCAAATATCTATATCTATATCTATATATATTAGAGTGTGTGTGTCTGTCTCTGTATCTGTGAGTCCATTTGTTCAAGAACTCCTCCTAAACCGTAAGAGTTAGGACCACCAAATTTGGTATGCAGCTTCCTCTTGCCCTAACTTAACCAAGGTCAGTGTTTGGCTGTGCCTAGAAAATGGGAAGTGCCAGGAATGGGAATGTTTTGCATAACATGGAAAGGGAGGGGCCAGAGAGAAGAGGGACGTGATACTGAGAGTGGCCACTAGGGGCAGCTGAAGCACAAATGAGAGTGGCCAGCAGGGATGGGGCTCCACCAGATAAAGAGTCCCATAGCCAGAGCT